GCAAGGTCCTCAAATAAATCTCACAGGCTTTTGCTGCTTTTAGTATGTTTTAATGTTTTACTATTCCTCTGCAAACTGCCCTAGGAATTTAACTGAAGGACAGGGTGAAAATCTTGATAAATGATTAATTAAGGCTGCAGTTGTAGGCATACTTCCTAGGTAGTATGAAAGTATTCTATTTGCAATTAGTAGGGCTTACTTTTGAGTAGTTTCAGAGGGACTCTGCTGAAGGTAACTATATAACACATGCTTTTAAAAATAGGTTTTTTCCAGTTTAATCTTAAACCTATCTAGCTTCTCTCTCTCTCTCTCTCCTCTCCCCTCTCTCTCTCTCTCTCTCTCTCTCTCTCTCTCTCTCACACACACACACACACACACACACACACAGACCACTATACCGAGCTATGAATCATGGCTCCACTCAGGGATACAGTTAGGTAACTCATGAAGGTCAATATATGTGTCCCAGGATAATGTTGCAGGATCCAATCTGGGTCATGCACCGGGACCAGAGGTTTTGCCTTCTGAGCTTTTGGACTCGTGGTGCATCCCATCTTCAGGGAACCTCTCTCTAGCAGAGCGCGTTACTATTAGACAGAAATTCCTTGAGGATGAGGTCCAGCATAAGTCCGAAAGCTCGGAAGACAAAACCTATCTGGTCCCAGGGAATGACCCTGATTGGATTCTGAATAGTTAGGTAATTTTACACTTTCGTTTCTTTTTTCTTTTGTCCCCTTTCTTCCTTTTGAGATATTAATATAGGTGTATTTTGCTTATTAAGAGACTATGGTGTACCACCCCTGACCCAAGTCAGAGCTGCTGCTGAATGTAACCCTGAATGTTTTTTTCTTTGGTCTTGCCTTAGTGGCGCTGCTGCTTGTGTTCCCTGCTCCAAATCTTTTGAAGCTCACCACTTTTTGCAAAGCAGAAGAGAGAAGATTTCATTTTATTATTTTATTCCCATCCACCCCCATTTTGCAGCATGAATTTTATGTATGTAAGATAAATTTTAAAAGATGCATATTTTTAGAAAAGTAAAAAAAGAATCCTGGCTCTTAATAACTGAAAGCCAACCAGGGTTGGTCACTCAAGGCTCCCTTCCACCCTCCCTCCATTTCTCTCTCTCTCTCTTTCAGTAGGCAATGTTTGTTTTGGGACACTTTCAAAGGTGAGGCTTTCATCAATTTGTTTTTCATTTTCTGTATCTAGAATGTAAATTTAAAATTCCTCCACTGGACGTGCTGGCTGGGGAATTACAAGAGTGCCAGGCTCCCAGAAGGATACCGCTTTGGGGTGGGCTGGACTAGAATATGCATTATTAGTTTTAAAAGGGGATAACCTACTTTCTTTATCTCATTAATAGTCATTAATGGCACATTTTATTTATCTATTTGGGGGGCATCAGGTGTAAAAACGCTTTCTTTGGGCTGCAGAGTAAGTAGCCTAATAGTCACAAAAGCAGGATTCCAGCAGGAATTTCAATTCGATTTTCTCAGTGCTAGTGATATATTTTAATATGAGGTTGTCATTCTCACCTCTCACCTCCAATTCTATGGCTAGGAACTTCCTGGACTAGGAAAATTCAGAGTCCAACATTCTATTGGCTTTCACACTGTTTTCCAGAATCAGAGGTGCTCACAGCTACTGCTTTGTCCAGGTAAAAAGTTCTAACAAAGTAGCTCAGCAACTTAAATTATATCCAGTTTTACTGCTGACTGCTTGTTGAACTAATTTGGAAGTGCTGAAGTTTATCTATCTAGGACGTAACTTTTAGCCAGGTTGTGAGTAGCTTTGGTCCTATTTTCCTCTTTAATCTGGTGGGACAGTAGAATAAGATTTCAGTGGAGACCTTGCCCTCAAAAACTACTTACCCCTGGAAATCTTTTATGTGTGCCCCTCCCCCCAACCCCCATCAACCAAGACTGTCAAAACATCCCATTTAGGAGTACTTTTAATCAATAGAACTTGACCACCTTCTTGAAATTTACTAGTTTGAAGAGAACTGATTATAGCTAAAGCTTTCTCCATAAGCTTAATTTTTATGTGGGAGAAGGCTGATATCCATGGGGCACAGGGAAGAGAAGGTTAACTCTTCCCTCACAATCTATGCATACCTGAAAATGTCCTCCACCACCACCCTGTCATTTCACTAATGTCTGTATTGGCAATAATAGAAAGTTTCTTCCTCAACCATCCCTATCTATATTTTAAATTGCCAGATTGAGAGACCAGATTTTTGCAGTTTGAAGCACATGATGGAGAGGATGGTTAATCTTTCCTGCCCCTGATGCAAGCCCTCCATGCACCTACCATTAAGCTTTTTTGTGGGGAGGGGGAAACTATTGCTATTAATGAAAAATATAAGGACAATTGATTCAGGGGAGAGTTCTCATTGATTTGTGCCTTGCAAAACTTCTGCTTTTTATAGACAAAGATTTGGACTAGACTATCATAGTCCAGACAAATCTACATCTTTGGCCTGAAAAGTCATTTTTGCTAACCAAAGTTAGAATAGCCAGGGGCCTATTAGAACAGGGCATTAACTTGCGCTTAAACAGTGTTCCCATTTAGTCCTCCTGAGACTCCTAGACATGCTTTAGAGGCACCATGCTCATGTCTCTAAGCATTCCTGGCCTAACATATCTGGACCATTGCTGCTTTTTGGTTCTGCTGCTTGCTACATCATCTGACATGAAGCTGTATGATTGGTTTATCACAAGTTACAGTGATGATAGTAAGCTTAGAAGCGCTTGGAAAATACCACAGTGAATTAAACCAGTAGTCCACATACTGTAGCTCAGCTTCTATCTCCTTTTTTTAGCCAATCCTTTTGTAAGGTCCAGAAGTAGAATATGCTGAACTATCTACATGCTGAAATATTCATTCCCAGCATTTGATAAGTCATGCTACAAACAGCCTCAACAATGAAAATTAGAATTTTTGCTGTCTTGGCTAGCAGTTCTAATGGACCCCATAATCCAATAGTGGCTAGGTTCTGATGCCCATCTATCATTTGGTTGTACAGATTCTTGTAAAGGTTGCTGGACTATAAGGACTTAATCTGATCCAGCCAGGTTTTGCTTATATTTGTCGAATTATTTATATCTCACCTTTCAGGCCTAAGTTCATGTTACCTTCTTAAAGATTGAGAAAGTAAGTAAATTTCCAATTATTTGGTTTGTATGATTGAAGTAGGATTTCTAGACCAATTTGCTTTAAGACATTTCCTTTTTAAAAAAAAAATCATTTATCCTTGGAAAGTAATAGCATCTTCTCAAATTACACTTCCACTTAACGGAGTTTCCAATCTGAACTAGTTTCGAGTGACTGTACCACTTTGTATCTATCACACCTTCAGATTCAATGTTGGGTATATTAGACTGAGTACAAGGAGATCTGAGCTGAATTCTAAACACAGTGCTAAGACACTGCGAACAGGCACAACGACTTCACTGCACATCCAGATTCTGAAGATAGAAGCTTTATGGGGTTTAGATGAACTGTCTTCCAATGGTGCAATTCAGCTGAGAATTTCCTGAATTCTCAGGTCTTTTGGTATTGCCATTGTTGACCCTGAATTAAGTGCTAGGGAAAGAGTCTTTGCAAAACTGGGGAGGGCAGAAAGCCGGTGGAAAGGCACGTGGTCGTCGCTCCTGTTCCCCTGGGAAGCCATATACTGTATGTGCAAATCCTACAAAGAGGCACAAAAAGCATTACCCCAAAGCACTGCCTACTCAAGATAAGAGAGAGTGATGCTTCACCAGGTTTCTACTCAGTATCCATACAGACAGCTGGAGCCTGGGGAACAGCGTTAGCCTCCACTAGAAGCAGCCTTCCCTGCTCATGCGTTTCTTTAAAACTTCCATTAACCCCTAGCAGATTATGGGAGTTGTAGTCCAAGACAAGCACTGGTCTGGAAAAAAAAAATGGCTGAGCTTGGAACCCTGGGATGAAAGAAGGAATCTCATCCAAGCCCTTTCACTGAATGGCTTGGTTTTACTTATTCTATTTCACAGTTGGGTTGAGAGGGACTAAAACCGAAAAAGGACTCAGTATACATCGTACTGGGTCGTCTTCCTCCCCCCTGAAAGATAGCAAGGGGGAATAAGATAAAAAGAAAGGATAAATTGGTCAATTATCCTTTCCGTCCAAACAATCAGAGCCACTCTGCTGCTGCCTGAGGGATCATTGATATGCCTACTTCCGAAGCAAATCCTGCTCAATTCCATAGGATTTGTTTCCAGGCGGGTGGATCTAGGACCATAGCTCAAAGAGCAAAGATTTCTCTGCTACCACTCAAGTCATTTCTTTCCCCTGCAGAAATTGTGCCTCGTTTTCTTCTCCTTTGGAACGAGCAAAAAAGAACATTCCCACCCCTCCCCCGCCCCTTAGGAACAGGGAAGACGATATCCAAATATTTTGGTTTTTTCCCTTCCTACTAATTCCTTCAAAGCCCTGAAATAATAGTTTTGAGTCCGGAGTACATCGGCAGGATCGGGACCCCGCGCACGCGGAACTCGTGGCTAACCATCCATTGTCTTTGGCGCGTCAAAGGGGCGATCTAAAACTGCCATTTGGTTTAAACGGGGAAAATAGGGAAGGTAGTTATCGTGAGGCGGCCGTCCCTTTTAAAACTCTCCCCCTCCCCCCCCCCCCTCACAAGGAGATCCTAAATCTCGAGGTGGAAGCGAGCCCACCCGAAGAATCCTGCCTAGGCTTTTCCAAAGCTGCCATATCACGGCTCCCATAACTGTCTTTTGCTTCCTTTCCCACCCAAAACTCAACGGAACGGTTGGAGTTTGGGGCGCCAGACAGGTGTCCGGAGCCGGGATGGGACAAACAGGTGTCCCCCGCGCTGTGCGCTCGGCCGGCGGAGAGCGGAGCGCGCAAGGCACCTGCGCGGGATCCGCTCCCAGCCCGGGGATCCCGCTAACCCCTGGGGCAAGGAACCCGGCTAGAGAGGCAGCAGGCGTGGGAAGGGGGCCGGGGTCGGCGCCTACCTGGGTCATGAGGCGGTCGGCGCCGGTGTTCTCCTCATCTTTGAAGATGATGTCCGGGTTGTAGTTGGGCGTCAGCTCCTTGAAGCGCTCCGAGTTGCGGGCGATCTTGCCTTCGTACCTGCCGCTTGCGCCCAGCGTCTTCTCGGGCACGTTGGGGCTGAACTGCTTGTAGGCGAGAGGGATGAGCTTCCTGGGCAGGCGGCGACGGCTGCCCACTACCCGGCCCGGCCCGCAGCCGCGCACCTCCGGCGCCAACAGGAGCAGCGCGCAGCCGCTGAGGAGGAGCAGCAGCCGCGCCGCCTTCATGGCTCTGACGGACCCACAGGAGCTTCAGCGGGACTCGCTCCAAGAGGAACAGCAGCAGCAGCAGCGAAGGCGGCGGCGGCCGCGGCGGTGGCGGCCGGGCTGCCCCGGGAGGGGAGCAGCGGCCGCGGCCATGCGGCGAGGGGGGCAGGTGAGCTGGTCGGCCGCTCTGAGCCGGCCCGCTCTGGCCGCCGCCAATAAATAGCGAAGGCTCCGTTTGTTTTGGCTGCCGCGGTTAAAGCGTCGCCGCCGCCGCCGCCGCCGCGCTCTAGCGGTCAGCGCTGCCGCCGGAGCTGCTGCTCTTTCTGACTGCGCCTCAGCTCGCAGGGCACGAGTGAGCGACGGAGAGGGGAAATTGAAGAAATCCGGATCGAGGACCGCCAGGACCGCACCCAGCCCGTGGCCGGCCCTCTCGCCCTCCCTTTCCTCCTCCTCTTCTCCTCCTCCTCCTCGCGGAACCTGCCTGCCGCTGCCAGGGCCCCGCCGACCGGGAGGTGGGCGGGAGGGGGGGGGAGGCAAAAGCCCGCCCGACCCACCTCCGCGGCTCGCTCACCTGCTGTCATTGGGGAGGCGGACGCGCGCCTCCGCCTCAGGAGTGCCGCCCTCGCCTTCGCCCTCGCCTCCCCCCCACCTCCCGCCAGGCTCCCGTCTCCACGTGTTCGGGGCCGAAGGTGCCAAAGAGGTCATCGAGGCTGTCGTCCGAGGAGGAGCGCTGCCTCGTGCCAGGGGCGGCGTTGGCGCAGCCGAAGCGACTGTCGTTGGGTCTCGGGCTCCCCAAAGCGTCCCCGGGCGTCGAGAAGGGTGGGAGAGCGAGGCCCTCCAGGCCCAGAGCGTAATCTGAGGCTAATAATAAAAAGGCTGGGAGGTGCATTGATCCACGGCGGCTCTGGGCTACCCCCTCACTTCGCAGTCTGGAACCCGGTCCTTCGATCCGCCCCACCCGTGTGTTTGTGTGTGTTGGGGTGTCCCTGGCTCGCTCGCGTGCCCAGCTCTCTGGGCTCTGGCGGGCAGGGAGGGGAAGCTCAGCTGGTTGAAGTTTAACCACCACCTCCTGGGGCCCTATTGTTCGGCCGGAGGCCCGATATTTCCACAGCGGCTCGTAGGATCTGATTAACCGGCTGAGACAACAATGCCGCCTGGGCCGGGCTTCCCCTCGCAGCTGCCAGCGGGCAAAGTCAACACAAGGCCCGGGAGCACAGTCCCGGAGGAGCCAGAGCACTTCGTGGGAGTCGAGCCTTTAGTCCCGGACCTATTTCGGTGCCAGAGTTCAGCCCCGGAGGGCTGGCAAAGCCGCAGGAAGGAAAAGACGCCCCCAGAGCATGTGCAAAGTTATTTTCTGTGTCGAAGAAGCCCTGGTGGAATGCAAGGCGGTTCCCTTTTCTAGAAATGGCCAGCCTCCTTTCTCCCTCTTTACTACATCTCGGGCTTCTTTTATTGATATGAAGGGAAACTTAAGGGAGGTTACCTTTATTCCAATCTGCCTCTTTGCTTCTTTGCCCTACTAGGCAGGGTCTCTCTGGCAGGCTTGTATCAAAACCTTCTACAACTTGGGATCTGCAGCTCTGTACCACCAGGAGCCTCTGTGTGCATCCACGTGCAACTGAATCGCTTCAGGTAGGGGAAATGACGGTGAGCCGCTTGGGAGAAACTCCCTTTCCAGCGAGAAGAGCAGGGCCATCCCTTCTGTAGGACATCAGCGTCTGAGTTTGAAGTGTAGCCAATTGCCCAAGCTCTCTGCTGGTAAAAATGGGAGAGGAAGATGGCAGAAGAAACCACATGAAACCGGAGCTTGCATGTAGAACCTGGGACTCATTGACTGGTGCATGCGCTCTTTAAGGGTCATACTTCAGCCAGCAGGAAGTGTTAAGGCACTCCCATTGTCTGTGGCATTCGGTCACTTCTTGGCACCCTTGAAAAGAAGTCTTGCTGAGAGATCCTGCAGCAGACCTGGAAGGGGGAAAGAGTTTTCCATCTGGAGAGCAGCTTTTATTTATTTATTTATTTGCAGTGGAAACCAGATTAAGCTATCCCCGGGGTCCTCATCCTGAAGCCTGGTGCCCAGAAGGGGACCTAAAAGCCAACCAATGGCGGATCAAAAAGATACAGGAAACCAGGCAGGAGATGTGTGGAACTGATGGGACAGAGAAAAGGCTCCCAGGATCTCTGCAAACAATCTCCTGGGATTTTTCCTTGCTAGCATCTGGTGGAGATAGCAATGGCACAACAGCCGACTTTCTTCTCCTTGGCTATCTAGGCACAAGGCCTGGAACGTCTTTTCTCTTCAGAACTGGCTCTTACATGCATCTGGGAAGGTTCAAGTTCAGAAAAGTTGAACTGCAAATAAACCGGGAAGCCAAAGCAGGTGGTTGCCCTCAAGAAATCTCTGACACCTCGTCATGGGCCAAGGCACTTTGATCCTATGGTGTGAGCTGGTGTATCTTATGGGGTGGCCTCGAACTGTACCCTGCTGTCATTCTCATTGTTGCCAGCCCAGACACACTTCTGGAGAGCACCAGATGTGGCGAGGCTGTTCCCAGCCATATTAAAAAAAAAAAAATACTTTCAGCTATTCTAATTGTCTTGCCCTGGCTGGTTTCAATTCAAATTTCCTCAAGGGTAACACAGCTTGAAAATGCACCCCCCCCCCCAAAAAAAAGTAACACCAAGAAGATGCTTATTCAAAATTCAGGAAAATAGTAATCTTACACCCAGATTCTGGATCTTCAACCTGGCAGTGGTTACAGTGTGCCCACAAATTTGTATCCCTGTTCTCTGGTCTTTCTGGATTTTTTTTTTCCTAGAGTGGTCATTCATAATTTTTTTTTCCTAGAGTGGTCACTCATAATTTTTTTTCCTAGAGTGGTCATTCATAATTTTACTGCTGTCTGGCTCTTTGGTAAGGTTGAATGGCCGTGCGCTCCACGCCATGCATTTTATGAGGGGCATCCATTGCTTCCTTTCAAAATCCCAACTATATTCCCAAAGAGCCCTGCCTCGGTCCAACCTTGTGTGTGTGTGTGTGTGCGGACTTTGCAATTCCCTGAAGTCTGACACGAACCGTTCAAGAGCCAGGGCTATGGGTGGAGGGGCTGTGTCTGGTTCTGACGCGAATCAAGGGCGGCGCTGAGCAAGGAGACAAGAAGCGGGCTGATGCCCTGGCCTGGCAGGGCCTCCCCGCAAGAGGACACGCAGTCCAGGGGGCGCTATTTCCTTATTTTTCAAATCCAGCAGTTCTCGGACAGAAGAACGGAAAAGGTTCGATTTTGGAAGAGGCTCAGCCTCGTGCTTTGGGCTCAGCGTCCACGCGGTCCCGTCTGGGTCCGGCTGGTAAGGCTCGTGCGCGCGTACTGCGGGCGATTGACCCCCCCCCCAGGTAAACATGCCGTGTGCCTCCAGTGTGCTGCTGGGGCGTTTTATAATCCAAGCAGGCATCTTTACAACGGGGCAATAAAGAGCTTACTTCTTGCCGTCCCGCCTCCGATCGCGGGTAAGCCTAAGTAGGGGGAAAGGGTTCCCACCATGCCCGCCGTGAGGGAGAAGACGAATCAAGTCTCTATATGTAAAATCTTTGGAGACCCTGCAAGCTGATTACATGGAAGCGGAGTTTTTCTAAATAAGTGTGAAATCAACTGATGCCTTGAACTCCCACGCTCACACTTTGTAGACCCCGGAGTTTGGTGAACAAGAACGACGGAATCAGATTTGCCTCTGAGCTACCTTCCCCGAAAGGAGCCTTAAAAGCCCCGCCCCATTTCCCGGGGTGCTAACGTGTTAGGCGACCCCACCCCCCGCTCCCTCCCCACCTCCCGGTCCATGGAAGCTGATTTAGAGCGACTTTCTCCAACAAGGTGCCCGCTAGAAATTTTGGACTGTAAAACGATCTTGCCGATCATGTTGACTTAGGAAACGGCACTTTTGCGGTCTGGAGAACGCGACGTTTGGGGGAAAGCCGCTTTTATGCTAAAAAAAAAAAAAAAAGGAGCAGTGTTGGTTTTTAAGGGCGAGAGAAAGAGAGCGACCTTGTGAATTCCAGGGGCAGGAAATGATTCCTTGGGATTCAGGGAGACCATCACCTGAACGTGGGCACAAGGCAGGGGCAGCAGATGCAGAAGCTGCAAAGAGGGCGAGAGATGAAAAACAGAGGAAGAACTACTGGTGGGATGGATTGGAAGAGCAGTTCAATGGTACTGCCTGGCTTGGGAGGAAAAATGTTTGAAGGATGGTCAGAAGGACAGAGTACGCTTACCCTGTGGAGGAGAGGCTGCAGACAGCCAGAATGGCTGATTTCAAATATCTGAAGGATTCCCATGTAAAGCAGCGGGTGGAATTGTTCAGAATTATTTCAGAAGGCAGGACAAGAATCAGAAGGTTTAAACTACAAGGAAAGAGATGGAACAAATTTCTCTAGGTGGAGTCTTTTTTTTTTTTAATTGAAGGTGTATTGCTCGGGGCATTGTAGTAACAGATTCCTGGACAAGGGGTTCGACTAGATCAGGCTTTTCACACCTTTTCAAGCTGTAGAACCTTTTCATTTTAAAAAATCCACATCCAGGAATCCCTGCTCAAGGTAAACAATGCTCTACCACTACGAAAACTGGCAATAAAATGGAACCTATGCTCATTATTTATTTATCGAAACACCAGTGACTTTAATATATAAAGTCAAATGGACAAAAATGGATGTTCCACATTGTCCCAGAAAATTCCTCTCCTCATTGTAAATATTAAAAAAGCTGACTTTAATTGTACGTATAACATTAATGTTTCCAACGTGCAAAAATTAAAACCTGAACTTCACAATTCATTGGACAGATGCTTTAAAACAAAACCAATGTCCAATGGTTGGGATGTGACCATTTTTCTTTAAACCTGGCTGTAGGTGGCTTATCAATTCCCCCCCATTCTTTTTCTCATCGTTTGAAAAATCTTGGACTAAGTTATCTATCTGTAAAGCCCCTTCCAGCTCTCGTTTTATACAATTGTGTAAGATAAAGCATCATCTA